TGGTGGTGGTGGTGGTGGTGATTCATGTTAGCATGGTTGCTGTAGTGATTTAATGCATTGTGACAGGCTGGGAATACAGCTAAGTGGAAATATGTGAACAGTAGATGCCCTGATTTCAATCCACAGCACTACAAGAAAAATAATAATGCTGATAATAATGTAACCTGGCTACATACCAGCTGACTAATAATAATTGCTCAGAAAATGATAGAATGACTTATGTCAACACACAGCATAGCTTACATGAGAATGTAATCCGGTTCCTTACTACTTTTGGCTTGGCTGCCTTCTCAGAAACCAGTATGTATCCTGGCTAAAAGTTTAAAGAGTCACCAAGTTTTCCCTTTTTAACATTTGTATCATATAAAGAATCATTTATACATAAAACCCCTTCCCTGTCTCATTTGCCCCACACCCCAGTCTTTTGAAGCAATCAGAAGAACACTCCATAAGGGAAGTCTACCACAGTCTGCCTGACGAGACCTCGCTTCAACTGCTAAGTGACAGTCGAGGTCCCACAGCAAATTAGCGACAGGACTGAGACCAAATCAGAGGACCTCTGGCTTTGTGTAGCGAGTCCCTCAAACGACATCTGCACTTCGTGGTTTGTTCCTATTTTTCTTCGAGCCGGTCACCCATCCCCTTCCCTAGCCAGCCACTGTGCTAAGTTCTGCTGATGTGAGGGTGAATTAAATAAGGGTTTGCCCTCTAACCAAAATAAGCCAGGAAAATATTCCACCCCAGCCCAGATTCAACAGAAAATGTTTTTACCCATTATGTGAGCCTCAGTATTTCAAAACCTGTACTTGCAAGCAGAATAATCAAAATTTTAAAGGAGACAATGAATGATTCTCACTGGGGCCATACCTTGTAAAATTAAAAAGAATAACAAAATATGAAAATCACTAAAGTGAAATTTCCAAAGCTTGGGTTTTTTTAACTTGCTGAATTTTTTCTTTTTCTTTTTCTTTCTTTTTTTTTTTTGAAATTAACTATATTGCAAACAAGGTTGGTGAGTTTGCCAAAAGAAATCTAAATTTGATGCCAACATGTATTATTTTCAACACACAAAATCTTTAAAAGCTCTTAAATGTCTTTGACTCGAGGTATCCTTAGACAACTCACCCTCTGGCTTTGCTTTGACCCCAGCCTCTATGAGAAGAAGATATAAAACATTGTGGGTTCCAGAATGTTCTGTCCTTGGAAGATCTCCATTTGATGTTTTTGGCCAAAAGTCCCATTAATTCCCCTATGACTAAGGCACTTTGGGGTCAGCAGAACTTGGGGTCTATGGGGATTTCAGAAGAGGGACAAGCTTGGGCTGCCTGGTCCAGAAACTTGGGGTAAAGCCAGACCCTACTACAAGGATTTAAAAGGGAATTAGCTCAAAGCAGCCTTTCCCTAATAATTTTCCTGAAATTAATACCATCATTCTGCTAACCCAATAATAACAGAGGCTCCCACTTCATAAGAGTTAAGAAGGACCAACCACTTTGCATACAGTTTTTATAAATCCTTATGAATAATAAAGGGGTCATAATTCCTCCTTCAGAGTGATACACTAGGACACAATGGTTAAGAACGTCCACTAGGGTCATATGAAAGGCAAAGGGAGGGCTTGCCGAGCAATCTGCTCTCCTGACCTCTCTCTTCTCTGCCTCTGTTGCCTCACCCACTTCCCCTTAGGGTGGTGAGACTAGCCCTGAAGATTCTGATACACAGGAATCTTCCATTCTTGTTCTAAACATATTTTCTAATTACCACCTACATACCCAGCACTATATTAGGCACTGAGGAATGTTAACGAAGAATTCTGGGTTTGGCTTCATCTTTGACTTGGGGGAAAAATGCCTCTTTTTCCAATGATCTCTTTCTTGAGCCACTAAAAATTAGTAGTTCCTTTCTGAGGCTATTGGGTGGAGAGATAAATACTTTTTTTAAAAAAAAATGCAACTACATTCATAATAGTTTTGAGTCTCATAGATCTCATTTAAGATAATCCCCATCAAAGTGATAATTCAAAGTGTCTGTTCAAGAAATTTGAGTCACCTCATGTGCACTGTATTTTTGTTTTGTTTTTGGAACACCACGAATTGCCTTCTTTCTGTACGCATCTACGTTTCAGCATTTAGTGGTCCCAAAAAGAGTGGGGATGTAGCAACAAGACTGGACCCACTGATGTAAAAATGCTATGACACAGACCTCCACCAGTTCCCTGTAGAGGGTTTGAGAAGCAGCGACCCTGAAACCTGAGTCCGTAGGGTCAGGGCCTCGTGTTCCAGCTGTCTGTCAGGCTCCACAACAGACCTGACGGGTAACCAGGGTGACATTGGTGTCAGGGCAACATTGAAGAGGTTCAATGTGTAAAAGTGATTATGGGGAAAGGAATCGATTCAGAACCTTGCTCTCTGCATAGCCTTTCTCCAGGCATAATCACCAAGGACCCTGGGAGCTGGCAGGGTCCAGCTGTGCACTGTGATTTTAAAGAATACCAAGCCATTCTTAAAACCACAAAGACTGGTGCTGGCCTTTCTGTTCAAATGTCTTGAGATTCTTGGTTATAATTAGATGTAGATTCGGTGTCCTGAGTAGGGCAGTCAAAATTGCATTGTCCAGGATGTAAAACTAAGAATTGGGTATGGTAAGAGGTAAGATGGAGAATGGGCTTCTAACAAAATGTCTTCAATATTGTATATTTCCCGATATGGACTTTGGAAGTAAAGCTTGACACAATGGAACATTCACATGAAAAGGTTTACTTTGAGAAATGGAGACTGATAAAAAGTTCAGTGGACATACACTGGTACCTGTCAGCTTCAAGTCCATGGCCAGTCCTCAGATCCATGCAGATCTGTCCTCTTTAAACTCTAAGCAATATTTCAGTGACTGGATGTCATCTGTGCATTTGATTTGTTTAAATTTTCATCTTCTTTTACTTAGAGAATTAGACCACTGTCTTCTCCCTAAATGACCTAGAAAGGAAAAATACTGTAACAAATTAAATTCTAATGAGTTGTCAAAGATTGTTACACATCCACCTGGATACTACTCAATTTGAGAGGCTGAGTGTTGGACACACCCACTCCATGAAGCAAGATTGTCTGGTAATTCTATCTCAGATTTCACACAATTGAAAGATGGTCCCGTCCATTAGCTCTACTGAGTCAAAGCACTCTCTACCCACCCTTGTGACCAAAGAAAGACTTTCAATTGGCTCATCACCATTAAAATAATTCTTCATCTATTATTTTATACAGAGCCTCAGAGGATGAAGGGTTTATCAGCAGTTCCCAAGCAGCTCGTGAAACTAATGGCAAAGTCAATATGGTGGTGGCAAAGGGATGGGGAATAGTAAATATGAGACCAGCAAAAGATTATCCTAAGTGATCAAAAGCTCAAATAGGATCAATCAATGTAAATTAGGAACAGCCCCAGGCATTTAGTTTTGCAGGAAAATCAAAAGGTGGGCAAACACTTAATTTGTTAAATAATTTAAATAAGCCATAGTAGTTATTATTCCGTTTACTCCTCAGTGCCATTAGCAAGGTGGACACTTACATGTCCCAGCCATGGGACTCTTGTCTCCCCTTACTGATCTTCTCCTCTTCCTGCTCCCTCCTCCTCTCTTTCTCTTTGTCTCTTTTTACTGACTTTTACTCCCCCCCAAAAAAAAAATTTACCCCAATGATGCTGGTCTCTTGTTTAATCACAGCTGATTTCTCAGTCCTAATAAAGCAGAGATATCACTTCCATGATTCCTTCATTAAATTACATCACAGCCCCAAGAGAGTCTTTGAGGGACCCCCAAACTTCCTTCTTAAATTTTGTAAGGCTTCCCATGTCTACATAGCTCTCTGCACTGCTGTCCAAGTTCCCACAGCACCTCATTTCTTTCTGAACATTTCCAGCCTGTTCCCACAGTTTCCGAGGGCCTCCCCCAAAAGCATTAGGGTCAGATCTACCACAGTAATATCTCATGTTCCGGATACCAATTCCTGTCCTGTTACTGTGAGACCACACTAACCAAAACCAACTGGGGAGCTTTTTATCTTATACTTTACAGTCCACCATCAAGGGATGCCAGGGCAGGAGCCCAAGGCAGCAGCAACCTGGAGGCAAAAATGAACTAAAGCAGAGACCGTGGGGAAACACTTCTTATTGGCTTGCTTTCAGGCTCACATTCAGCTATCTTTCCTCTACAGCCCAGGACCACTAGTCCAAGGGTGGCATTGCCCACAGTAGGTCAGGCCCTCCTCTATCAATTACCAGACAAGAAAGTGCCGTACAGCTATGCCAAGAGACCAATCTCATGATGGAAATTCCTCAGTTGAGGTTTCCTGTTCTCACATGACTCTAGCTTGTGTCAAGTTAGAAAAACAAAACAAAACAAAAAAGCTAAACAGCACAGGACCCCAAATACACGTGACCAAATAAAAACCTCTCCAAATATATATTCAAAATACCAAAAATACAAAATAAAGAAACAATATAAAGCTGCCAGGGAAAGGCACCATTCACAAAGGCAAACCCATCAGAATAACACCAGATACCTCATCCACAACCCTAAAAGCTGGGTAAGCCTGAAGGGGATAAGTGGATAACTGTCAACCAAGACTGTAACAATACCCAGCGCAGTTTTAAAACTGACAGAGAATAAGGGCATTTCAAGAAAAGCACAAACCAAGGCATCATAACCAGCAAGCCAGTGGTATAGAAGATGCCTAAATGAATACTGTGTACAAAGGAGGAAGACGGTGGCCTCAGACATTGGAGGAACAGATGAATAAAGGAGACTTTAGAAAGAAAACCAGTATATCAGCAAACACACAGGAAGGAGAATATATAGAATAAAGTTGGCTTTATTCTAAGAATTCAACATTGGCTTAATATTAGAAAATCAATTTTTTGTGTTTTTTGTTTCTTTGTTGTTGTTGTTGTTGTTATTGTTGCTATTGTTAGAAACAGGGTTTCCCTGTGTAGCCCTGGATCTCACTCTGTAGACCAGGCTGGCCTCGAACTCACAGAGATCCGCCTGCCTCTGCTTCCCGAGTGCTGGGAATAAAGGTATGTGCCACCACCACCCGGCTAGAAAATCAATCTTATTCATTCCATTCAGGGGTTTTAAAATTATATTATCTATAAATAAAAGACACATTACTCAACATACATTCATAAAATTGGGCTTTTGGTGTGTGTGTGTGTGTGTGTGTGTGTGTGTGTGTGTGTGTGTGTGTGTGTGTTTTTTTGAAAATTTGTAAATAGAGGGGATTTTCTTACTATGAGAAAGGATAGCTAAAAGAAGACTCTATATAAAATGAATGGATAGATAGATAGATAGGTAGATACATACATACATACATACATACATACATACATACATACCATGCTTTGTGGTGACATGTTGACTCTCTCTGTAGTTTGTATATTTCATTTAGTCTCCAGGGAACTGAGTGGGAAAAGCAGAGCCCATTTCATCTGTCACATGATCTGCATTGTCAAGAGTCAAGAACTAGAAACCTAACCACTTCAAACTTCAAATTCACAGGTTTCTGAGCCTAAAAATAGAAAAAAATCCCCCCCCCATCCCAGAGTGTCCCCAAAACTCTGCTCAGATAAATAATTCAGTCTTTGGGGCCAAAATAAGTGTGAGTTTTTCCTAGGGTATCTAGAGCCCGGAGACTAGGCTTTAACACAATCCATCTCTAAACACCAGCTGAATGTCCTTTTGAGGAAATTTAAAAATAATAGTCCCTTGTCAGCACAAACTCTCTTACTAAAGCTCTACACAGAGTGGGAGTAACAGGTGGTCAAAACAGGAGGTCAAATCCAGCTCCTGTTAGGGCAAGGAGATGGTATGTCCTTAACAGGAAGTTACACAATGCAGACTGGGTGTATGCCAGAGGCTTAGGTTCTCACCACAGTCCACAAGCCCTCAGGGAGTGGAAAGAGCCTTGGGGATGTGGCTCAGTTGCAAGAATGCTTGTCTAGTATTTACAAGGTCCTGAGTCAGTCCCCCAACACTACACAAACCAAGTGTGGTAACATACATCTGTGGTCTCAGCACTTGAAGGGTGAAGGCAAAGGGATCAGAAATCCAAGGTTATCTTTGACTATGTATGGAGTTTGAGGCTATCCTAGGAATCATCAGACCTTGTCTCTAAATAAATGAATGAGCAGAGAATACCATAAACTAATTGATTCAATCGGCAACCACTCAGCAAATGGTATGAGTTAGGTACCTTTGTTAGCAATTGGAGTAACAACACTGAAAGGCAACATCCTAACTTGAAAGATCCTTGAACGTAGTCATGGAAACAGGGCCATCAACATACAACAAAAATAATCACTTCACAGACTTTTAAGTGAAGGCAAAGCCCTTGAGAAGTAATCGAGACAAAGAAATTATCATCAAAGAAGTAGCATATGTTTGATGATCCATGATGTTTGAGAATGGCCAGTTAATTGGATGGAAAGTTATAAATTTTTTAAACTCGGAAAACAATGCCTTTGAAATCTCTGACAGATGTTGTCAAGATTCCTATGAACAGATGTCTATAAAACACCAAAAACAACCTATTGAATAGTTCTCAGTGGTACCAGTTGCTTTTTTCATCAACTTTATGCGAGCTAGAGTTATCTGGGAAGAGGAGCCTCTTTTCAAAAATGCTTCCATGCAGATTGACTATAGGCAAGTATGTAGGGCATTTTCTTGATTAAAGACTGATGCAGGAGGGCCCAGTGGATTGTGGATTGTGCCATCCCTAGGCAGATGGTCCTGGGATATATAAGAAAGCCTACTGAGTGAGTCAGGGAGCAAGCCACTACACAGTCATCTTCCATGGTCTTTGTTTCAGTTTCTGCCTCTGTTTCCTGCCTGCCTTTCCTCCATGATGAACTGTTGCCTGGAAGTATGAGATGAAAAAATCCCTTTTATCCTCAAGTTACTTTTGGTCATGGTCATGAAAAAAGAAACCTAAGATACCTGCTCTCTCCATTGGTTGTTATTTTACTGAATCTATAGATGAACATGTTGACAGTAGATCTGTGGGGAACATGCATCTTTGCCAATGGTTATGTTTTAAATCCTATACTTAAGGGGGAAATTTTACATAGTAAAGAATATGCTTCAAAAAAACCTGTTCACTTTTTATAATTTGCATATATATAATAATTATTTAATAATTATTAGGCACAAATTGCAAGGATCATGAAGCTAAACTCAAGAAAGAAAAAAAGAACAATCTCATTGATGATGTCTGGGCCCTCATAATACTCCAACTATAGAATAATTACAAATTTCAACAATGAGTGGAAGACGGGTAGGAGTTCCTTAGTGTTGTGTCTCATCTACAAGGTTCATTGCATTGTTTTACACTTCCCTTCGCTAACCTTAATTATTTTCTGTTGTGAGTTAGGTTTATGAGGGGGATTGGAGACCAAAAGCAGCATGTGGTGGCATATGGAACCCATGCTGAGGATGCTCTTTCTGTGGCACCTTAAATACCTGTTTTCTTATCACTTCCCTCGAGTGGTGACAGCTTGGTGCATTAAAAGTCAGTTTCTAGAAAGATATGCCTATTTTTGAAATATGAAATTTAAATAGACTTAAGATGACACCTAAATCTTATATTTACTTGACTGCAGAGCTTAGAAGCCCCCTCCCCCGCCCTGTTTGGGATCTGAGGAGATGGTTTACTAGTTAAGTACCTGCTGTACCAGCTTGAGGATTCTACTTGAGATCTACAACACAATGTAACAATTCAGGTGTGGCAATCTACTCCCCTAATCCCAGCACTTTGTCCCTTGCAGGCAGGACAACAGGATCCCTGGCGTTTACTGATCAGTCAGTCTAGCAAACTGGTGAGCTCCAGGTTCAGAGAGAGTCCCTATCTAGAAAAATCTAATGTGGAGAGAAATTGAGGAAGACAGTAATCTTAGGCCTCTATGTGCATGTCACTCACACATGAACACACACACACACACACACACACACACACACACATTTTTTAAAAAGTTAAATCACACATTCTA